ATTGCTTTTTACTGATGCTAATTACTCGCCACTTATGGGTTTTCGAGGTCATTTCTTGGTGCTTATGTATTATTCTGGATATACTTAAATAATTGGGCGTATTTGATTTCAGAGAGAAAGCAATATTTTATTTAAAATCAACTTGAGATACCAGACTTTAATTTTCGTCATTTCGGCCAAAATGGATTTTGTTGTTCAAAATTTCAGTATAAAATTACTCCTGAATGTGCTGTAGGATCTGACTATAAAGAACATTATCTTGATTATAACTTGTTCAAATGGCTTTTAGAAAAATATTCAAATGATTTCATCTTACAATTACTTTTTATTTCATTGCTCACACTTATGGGTTTTCGAGGTCATTTTCTTGGTGCTTGTGTATTATTCTGGATGTACTTAAATAGTTGAGCACGTGGGGTACAGTTCTGAGAAAACGTATTTTGGCCAAAAATCCTTTAAGTATTTTGGCCAAAATCCTTTAAGCAAAGACTTACAGTACATTTTTGGTGGTTTGGCCAAAAATTAGATTTTGCTGAAAATCACAGTATGGGTACTCTTGAGCTTGCTGCTTTTGAATATGGGTTACGTTTCGATTGCAGAGTAATTAGTGGCCAAAATGACCCTTGAAAGTTTTTTGACTTTTTTCAATGCTAATTCCTCATCAACTTTGGGTTTCCAGGGTGTGATTTAGGGTTTGTGTGTTATTCTGAAAGCACCTAATTAGTTAAACCCCTTAAATTTCAATTCTGAGAAAAAAGTATATTTGGTCAAAAATTTTGTAAGGTGTAAGTCTTGATAGAAGCACTTGGCTTACACACACACAAACACACACACTCACACACAAATATAGTACAAACAGGCATATATTGTCCGAGAGAGACTATGTACAGTATGTATGTATGAAAGAGAAAGTCATGGTCAAAATTGCCTTACTGGAACAAAAGTTATAGTGAGTAGTCCGTCTATCTGTCTGTCTGTCTGTCTCTTTGAATACATAAAATGGAGACGCTTCAGTGTATTCCGATGCATGGTGACAACCAAATGAAGGAGGATAACAGGACCATCTCTAGCCCCCACAACCTCTAATATCTAAATTCTAGACTCCCCATTACAATATCTATTTATTTTATTTATTTATTTTATTTATTTATCTATTTAATATATTTTAACTATTTACAATATCTATTTTATTTAGATATCTATTTTACAATATCTATTTATTTTATTTTATTTTATTTATTTTATTTTATTTTATTTTATTTATTTTATTTATTTTATTTTATTTTATTTATTTTATTTTATTTTATTTTACAATTTATATTATTTCTGACAGTTGACCAGACCCACTGACCCCCACACCCCCACCCCCACACCCCCCAACCCCTCTGTCTTACCCCAGTATCTGACCCCAATATCTGACCCCAGCCATCTCACCCCCTGACCTCTGACCCCACAATATCTGTTACAATATCTATTATATCTAACCCACAATATCTGACCCCTGACATCTATTTACCCTGACATCATATCTAACCACTCCTTACAATATCTGACCCCCAACCCCACCCCCCAACCCCCCACAACCTCCCCCAACCCCCACAACCTCCCCAACCCCACAACCTCCCCACCCCCCACAACCTCCCCAACCCCCACAACCTCCCAACCCCCCAACCCCCACCCCTCCCAACCCCCCACACCTCCCCAACAGCACAACCCCCACAACCTCCCCAGCCCCCCAACCTCCCCAACCCCCCACCACCTCCCCAACCCCCACAACCTCCCCAACCCCCCCACCACCTCCCCACCCCACCACCTCCCCAACCCCCACCACCTCCTCCCCAGCCCCACCACCTCCCCAGCCCCCCCCCAACCCTCCCACAACACACACGGATTACCCAAAGCGAATGTATTGGAATCGTTATAAACCAGAGCTGTCAACCGGGATAATGATGAGAGAGGAGAGGGCACAGAAAGGAGAGGAGGATAAAGAGGAAGGGAGAAGGGGGGGGTGGGGGAGGAGGGTACAGAGAAAGGGAGAGGAGGATAAAGAGGAAGGGAGAAGGAAAAAAGAATACAGATCGAGAGGAACTTTAGGTTAAGTTAGGTGGGAATTGGGATTTTTAAGAAGACGACCACACACACACACACACACACACACACACACACACACACAAAGTGGGTTTTATTTCACTACATCCGAACACTTAAGCATCCGAACACTTAAGAATCTGAACACTTAAGCATCCGAACACTTAAGCATCCGAACACTTAAGCATCCGAACACTTAAGCATCCGAACACTTTACCATAACGACATTTCCGAACAGGATACAGACGTGTATTGTGACGTAAGATACCAACGTTTATATTATTACCTCTGGATAAAGGCACACACACACACACACCCCCCCACACACACACACACACACACACCCCCACACACACACACACACCCCCCCACACACCCACACACACACATACATTTCCCTACGCATAATCCACACTTCCCCCCGACCCGGAACTACACTCGACCCGTAAACTAATTCCGGGTTAGAAATGATTTTTTTTGTTTTATACCGGAACCATTCTTAGTGTTTTAAGAGGCCAAGTAATATTTTTTTTTTCTTTGGTTTATTTGTTTTATTTATGAATCGTTCTTTTTTTTATCATATTGGCCACTTATCAGCTTACTAGTCTCTCCAGTGTTAGTACAGGTGGAAACTGGAGTCCGGGAAACCTGTGATGTTTGGTAGTGAGGGTCACACTGTATAACACCCTTCTCATGTGTGTCTGGGCCGAGGCTCGAACACTTGACATATTGGTGAGAGATATTCCGCCAGGCTTATTTCATCTTGAGTTTTACTAACCTAACGCTAAAGTACCCTAATGTAACCTAGCCTAACCTAACCTAAACTGACAATGATTTTTACAATTTGATGAGGTTCTTTTTACTTCAGTTACTCCCAACAATGGCGGAGAATAACGTTTTCCATGATGTGTTTTATATCAGAGCAAGGCGTATATACTCACTAAAGCTTCGGCGATGGGTCTCTCTCTCTCTCTCTCTGTTCCAAGCAAGGTCTGTAGTCAGATAGTTTCGTTTATAATAACAAGGGAGAAAGGCGTGGATGGTAGAGAGAGAGAGAGAGAGAGAGAGAGAGAGAGAGAGAGAGACTTCCACCACCTCCCTACACTGATTATCCCCCTCCCCATCAACTCTGCAGGTGCCTCCCTCTATACGGTCTGGCAAACGGCTCCTAATTGGTCGAGAACAAGGTCCAGGTGCAAGGGAATGTTATGAGTGAGACGCGCCGCTGTGATTGGTGGGGTGGTCTCAACGTCCCAGGTGTCACATTGTACTGGCGATCATTGTGGGTCGAGGTTACGCAAGTGCTACCCTGATGAATCCTCCCGTGTGTGTGTGTGTGTCCCCCAGTTGTGCTATTTATCTTTTGTTACGGCTGCTGAGTGAGGGACGACTGGCGTATATTCATAGTGATGGAAGCCTTGTGTACATCATTAGAGGGGGAGGACGAAAGGAGGCACAGAGGTCTTAATAGCCTCTGGGAGTCTTGGGGCACTGAGTTGCGTCATAATGGAGTCCAAATGAGATGTGCTTAGGTTAGGTTAGGTTAGGTTAGGTTAGGTTCTTTATTAATTTCATCGAGAAAAAAGTCAGTAATGGTAACAGAGAGCTATAGCTCTATCTGAAACACGACTCTATTTTCTATCTCAGTACACGGTGCAGAGACATGGGCGGTGATAATAGTATATAGGAGAGGAACAGACGAGTAAAACTGGCCTTCAGAACACCACTGGACAATACTACAGAGAACAATAGAGAGTTGTGTATGTGTGTGTGTCCGTGTGTGTGTGTGTGTGTGCGTGTGTGTCTGAGAGAGAGAAAATCGAGTTCCTCTTTAACAAACAACCATCACAAAAAATAGTGTCATTAGTTGCTTCACACCGACTGTTGACTGGTACAATACATCTTCACGTACACTCAGGACACCTCATATACCTCTCAACAAAACGCAACAGACAAATGACCGACCTCCTGACCTGGTAGTAAGGTAACGAGCGGTGAGGAGAATAATTAAGAGAAAGTGTTGAACTAGTTCTCTCCTCTGTACAGTGATGGGTCTATACTTGTTAGTTAAAAGAGTAAACAAAGTCACGGTAATGTGCTTACCTCGCCCCGCTGTAGCTCCGGGTACTGTACTGGACAATGAAGGTCTTAACCAAGAACAGCTCGCTGACAATTGGTGGAAATCATAAATTGAATTAAAAGGAGAAAATAGAGAACTGAAGTGGGCACAGTGCATGAGCTTACAAATTAAATTAATTATTTTCGATTCATGAATAATTATTAATATAATTTAATTGCATAAATAAGGCTTCATGACCTTGAAGATTATGTACGCAATAAGTTATCAATTAAATTAAATTTAACCAAGTTGATGCTGAAACGTTTTATTATGCTTTATTTTAATTCATAGAAAACGTGAAAAATATATTGTACGGGTAACAACAGTAATGTTTCTCCGACCAATTTCATAGATATAATGGTGAATATCTATTGTGTAAAATAATTGAATTAGTTAAATTTTGATCGTAATGTTTATATAACATCTTATTAATGCATATAATAGCAAAAAGGAAGTAAATTTCTCCAAGGAGACCCTCAAGAAACCCTGAGACAACTGATGTGAACTGAGCTACAGTTGATACTCAGAGTAACACATGGATGGTTTCTCGCTTATATAGTTCCTATGCCAACTAGGTCATATATGTAATAAAACAACAGTCATCTAGAGTATAATAATATATAACGCTCAGTAATGAGGCACAGTACAGGTCGTGCGTGTCTCACACAGCTGTGTCATGTTTCAAGCCCTGGCTCTGGACACTTCGTATCTCTATCAGTCCAGAGCAGACATTAAGACTGTGTGTAGCTGTTACTAAGAGACGTCAGCAATAAAACACTCAGATAGTTTAATTTTTAATATTAACATAATAAAGATTATTGTACAATAAAAAAAAATAACTTCTCATTACAAAAGAAGAAAATTCATCTAATTCCAGTTTCTGTAACTCAAAGAGTTGGATTCAGTGTTTAAATCGATTACATGACACTTGCCAAGATGTGTTTCATAACTCCACCTTGACCTGAGGAAACTCTAGGTTATGTAAGACTCTCTGGATCTGTAACTTAGCTAGGCTCCTCTTGCCAGGCTCTAGACGCCTCAACACGGGCACCAAACTCAGGCAGAACAACCTCTCTCCATTCTCTTCATCGTCTACCCTTGGTCCCTGACGAGTCGTTAACACTTTTTGTAGTTCCTGTTCTGTTTGAGTTAACTTCAGGAAGTCTGCCTCGAAGGATTGTGTCCTCATTCTCTTGGGATTTGGTGGAGTGGGGCAGCGAGAGGGCGTAGTGGCGTGGATGTTGTTGGTGGTGTGAAGGTTATTGTTGTTGTTGTTGGTGGTGGTGGTGGTGGTAGTGGTGGTGGGGTTGTGTTTCACCTCGATGTCTTCCTCGTCAGATGGTTCCCCGTCTTCCTCGTCTTCTGTTCCTCCCGCGTCTGAGTATGTGTCGCGACGGCCCGCTCTGTACGAGATTATAAATAATATAGTACGCTAATATAATGTATAATGCTCAACACAATACTTGTATACTTCAGTGTGGTAAAATGGTCACGAACAAGGAAGAGTTATCGTATACAATTTATCACTAATGTTGATAGTTTGATAGTTCTTATTACATCATTTGTCTAAGTTTTCACCTGTACCTGGGAAGGAGTGTGTTGTCGTGTCTTGTAGGGTTTGAACTTGTATGCAGGGTTGGGGGGGGGGTAGGGTTAGTTTATTAAATGAGGTTAAGTGTAGGTGTGTGTGTTGGGGAGGGGGGTGCTGTGTAAGGATGATAGTTTCAATGTATCGAGATAAATTGGACCTGTAGAAACTTGACATATTAAAGGTAACAGGTTCATCCAGGTCGTTGGAATGTGTTGTAACTGAGGACAAAACAAGACCCCCCTTAGACTCAGGTAAAGGAATCCTCACCTGTAAGGCCTGTGCTTGACGTGTGAGGTGAGGAACATGAGCTGCGACATGAGAGGCCAGCTGCCTTGGTACACCTGGAGAGCGCTGGACCCCGCCCGCTTTGGGTTGACGTTTTTCCTCATCTCTCTCACGAACTTGTCCCTCAGTACCCGCCAGCGAGCCTGACACTCCCGCGCTGTAGAGAAGCAAACCAGAGTAAACCTTTATGTATAATGTGTGACGTATACAAACAACATTAGTAGGGTCAAGTTTATAATATGTAGGTATGTAAATAATGTGATATGTACACAGGGGATATTTCACTCGAGTCCCTTTAATGGGTAGAATATAATGAGTACTTATATATGATGATGGTGGTCGAGAGGCAGTGTGTTACTCGCTGCGGTAATTGTCGTACACTAACCGTAACTTAGAGCTTCATTGAATAAGACACGCGATAGCTATACAGGATATAACTATCATGTAGACTCACCCTAAGATATCACTTAACAGTATGATCCGTCCAAACAGCGGCATCTGACAACAACAGGAGCTAAGGATATATTAATACTGTAAACTACTGAGCCATTTTCTCGCGACCTAACTTTTTTGGTACATTCGCTAATATTATTGCAGGTAAAAGGTTTCATGACGGGTAACAATAATAAAGCGGCTGAATCTCAGTCTTGTGCTTGAAAGCGAAAGAAGAAGCGTACAGGAAGGCCAGCCAGGCGGAGATGATGCCACACAAGCTACTGTTAACACTTCTCCAGTAGGTGTACGATATTCTAGGCGTTTGTTGATGTAAAATAACTAAGTCAACGCGCATATAAATTAGCAAATTAGCCAAGTTGAACGGGAGTTTTTAATGTTTCATAAGTTTATTCCTGATTAATAAATAATACAAAAGACCCCGACAGACGTTAATAGCGACTTAATATATAATAATTCCTAAAGATGGGTATCAAGGGAGTGTTTCTTGACCTTGGTAATTCGCGTGTTGGTCAGTGGCAATAAGGGATGGCCGCAGGAGAGTAGTGGGGGCAGTGGTAGTGTATCCTCGGCAATAGTCCTCTTTGTTCCTACACACGATGCTGAGGTGTTTCTCATAATGTGTTGAGGGTAGAGAAGGGTGGGTGTAGGAGAGGGAAGGATAAAATTAACAACTAGACGCAAATAAGGATGGGGGAAGTGTGAGAACAGAGAGAGGGAGGGAAGAGATGGGGAGGGAGGTAGGGGAAGAACGAGATGGGAAAGGGAGGGAGGGAGGGAGGGAGGGGAAGATACACACGGAGGGGGGGGGACGGGAGAAGAGGAAGGGGGGAGGGAGATGGAAAGATAAAATTGGGAGAGAAAACAATTGAGAAATGTTTGACCTGCATTTTCTTTTATCAGTTTTCTTTATATCCAACTAAAGGCTGACATATTTCTACCTTTTTTCTTGATTGGCGTGTGTGTGTGTGTGTGTGTGTGTGTTTGTGTTTGTGTTAATAACCTGAACCCAAGCTAGAAACACTACCAACACAACACTAGTTAATAACACCACCATAACACCAACATCGCCACCCCCATCACCACCAGTACTAACAACATCATCACCACCAGCAACATCATTATCAGTAATAACATCATCGCCACCACCACCACCACTAACACGCTCTCCGCCAACTCGCCCGAGATCGCAACAAGCGGGCCAGCCAGCCTTTATTGACGTCCGTATTAAACCTGGAAAGTCGAACCCTATTCGACCTCTCCAAGGACTTTACAAAAATCCTACTAACATATTCTACAAGTATTCCAATATTACTGATTGGCATAAAGGCACACACACACACGTACAATAATGTGGTCCTGGGTGAAATCCTTGAGGATGACGGAGCTTTCGAGTAAGAAATAAAAATAAAATTGTGAGCGAGGACTCACCGTGGAGGCCGAGGCTGTCTGCCACCGACTGCCACATGCTCTCTTTTTTCCGCAGGTCTCTGTAGTCGTAGCTGCTCTGGTCATACAGTCCCGGGTACTGCTGCACCTCTATGATCAATTTCTCGTCTTGGTCCAGTTGATTCATGATTTAAATCAACTCACAGAACTGAAAATGTATTAATAAAAGTACTGTTTCCTTCCACCTCTCGAGAGTAGGATACTCAGTCGGCCACACTGCGTCTGCCCTGCGTGGGTTTGCCAGCGCCGTACGACAACTGCGGCTCCCGCCGTCTGTCGACGACCACGCCGAGAACGTATGAGTAAATTGTGCATCATAGTCTCACTTAACCTGTCAGGCAGATGACTGACTTGATATAACATAAACCCAGTGAAAGTTGGGCCCAATGACCATAGTTCTCGGCGATGCTGAAGAGATGATACGTATATACAGTATATCCAAAGGGTAATCAATGATCAACCATTGAATGTGAACGGTCTTACCCCACGCAGACTCGAGCTCTCTCTCCCACTCTCTCCTCGTCTCTGTTTATCATGCTCTCTCTCTCTTTCTCTCTCTGATTTAGTTTGTACTTCTCTCTGGAGATCAATATAAAAACCCGTAACTCAAAGACCGCGCCTGTACGTTGTACTGTTGGATCCAATCGTGTTTATATCCAGTTGTGGAATCAAATTGTTTATATCCAGTTATCAGAAAACCAAACTTTAATTATTATAAAGTATAGAAATAACCTTATATAAACTCCAGTAGTATCGTTCACTGTATACTGGAGAACCGTGGCCGTGTCTTGTGTCAGTCTCAACGAAATACTGTACAATAATACCCCCTACCTGCCCTTACGTCACCTGACCTCTCCTATCATACGAAACAATCACTACTTCACTTGACCTAACGTTACCTATCCTTATCCAACTAAGCTTACCTAAACTGAACTAACCTTACCTAGACATACTTACTGTGTGTCAGCGTCCGTCGCCCACCCCCCCCACCCCTACGAACGCTGACAAACTTCACAATACACAGTACACTCGTCTCTCTCCCCTTGACAATAAGAAACCTATTTCTTTCTTTATTCCTTCACTATATTAATATGAATTTACTATTTTTCATTCACTTCACAATGTCACATTAGATATTGAATTAGATTTTCAGTATTAGTAAAACTTGTAGGCTCTTATACTACCACGGCAGCGTCTTCTTGGATATTAAGCACGGCAGTTGTCACTTGGTCACCAAAACAATTGATAGGGTTTTGTTGACATTTTCTGCGTCCTTACAGCGTAATCGGGGTCACAAGTGCTGCAAGGACTGACCCCCAACCACAATTTGTTTGTTGATTTGGTTAGTTCATTGTGACTCATAATTAATTTCGTCACAAATTTTAATATGTGGAACTGTTGAACCATTCACAGCCTCTAGTCATCCCAGCACCTTGTGACACATAAATATTATGTTTTTTGTTTTCTTGAAATTCTTTTGCAGATTCCACAATAGAGGCAACTTTCCGAGGCATAAGTCATCCTGGGACCTGTCTCTTCCGAACCCTGAACATTAATTATTCCTGACCAAAGAACACTTATTGTGCTTCAATAACTAAGGTGTTAATGCGTGTAACAAAGCTAATGCATACTCTAGTTTATCAACAATTAAAATCAGCTGATGATAAACAATACAATACATCCTGAGGGGTTGATAACATAATCCATCAGGTTAAACAATTATGCATGAAAATTGTGTACAGTAGTACAGTATATACAGTACGCTGTTCTATATTCACACTGTCCTTAACTTCAATCCTAGCAGCAAATGAAACCTATATTGATTTTCACCTACATGTTATGTACAGTACAGTATACTGTACTGTATATGTATGTAATGTGTCAGACATTTTTCACTTACATGTTAAGAATCTAATACCTCTACTTCACCATCACGGCAGGTTGTTACATCTCTGACAAGGAGCTGATGCACAGCCAGTGGAGGAAGGTGTTCTATGTCCGAGTTACTCGTGATTACAAGGGGCTCACTGTTAACGTAACCCACAACACTCAAGTCATCACCCTGCCACCTGGTTGCCTTTCTCCCGACACCTGGCATGCTGTCTCCATCTCGAAGAAGAAAAAGTCAATGGAGGTAACGTTACCCTGTTAACAATGTTAACATGTTTGTGATATGAAGATCATAGCTATGATTTTTTTTCTCTGATATCTATTATGATCATTACAATATAATTTCGCTTAAAACAAATCTATGAAAATTTTTGATCATTTGACCATTTAACTGTTGGATAAGGTTATGACTTCATATACATGTTATTGCCTTTACGCAAAAATGCCAGGCACCTAACATAGTAATTGGTAATACAGTATAAAGTAAAATGACATAACTTAACCTAATCTAATATAATTATGATATAACATAATCTAATAACCTAACTGTGGCTTGGCATAAATGCAAATATGCAAAAAGTTCAGCTTACCATACCACACTCCAGCCTGCATCCACACACACCCAACCACACTTCATCCCACACACACACACCCTTCCCCCTACTATAAGATGATGTATATGGCAGGTGCACATTGATGGTGAGCTATTAATGAGGGAACCAACACAGGTGTACTTACCGAATATCAGTAGTATGGTGATCAGGGTGGAGGAAGGTGGACTGCTGTCGTGGTGCAAACAAGCGTCTCACCTCCCCACAGGTATGTCACTAGTTATTGTTGTAGTCATAATATTTTATGTTTGTTTAGAAGTATAGTATTAAGGTGACTTAAAACTTATATATGGGCCCAGCATAAATGACGTTTTAAGTATTCTAAATGTTTTTAATTATTTCAAAAGTCATTAAGTATAGTAACACTAATTACCAGATCCTTAACCAACATATAAAGGAGTTCCTTTGTATGAAGTTTGAACAAATCCAAAGTTTACCACATGAGCTGAAAAGTAAGTTCAGTTGTTTTATGAGCAGGAGGCACCATTTTTCTAGAAACTAAAAGGTAACATGATTAAATGGAAAAGCAAGTCTTTATTCACGTTTAAATGTTCTGTATATAAAGGTGGTTTAAAACTTACGGGTATAGTGTAATTAATATTTACTGTGCATGTTATAAATGTGTTTAAATATTTCAGAGGTCTTCACTACTTCCGGCGGACTCGGGTATCTATGGCACCACAGGAACCGGCACCGTGCCTCCATACCGAAACCAAGATACTCTCCCCTCACCAAACTTTACTCTGAGCCTACCCCACCTCCTCTTCCTCCTCCATTTCACCCACCACAAATCATCCTGAGGCCACCCTCTTCACCACCAGCAGTACACCCAGAACCTCACAAACTCCTCAAACCACCTACCCCACAACCAATTATCCAGCCACCATGCGGACTGTGAAGAGCTGCAGAAGAATCTCTGTGAGCTCCAAGAATGGTCGATAAAATATCATGAAGTGTAAGAGGATGCACCTTGGGCATACCAACGGTAAGGAGGAGTATCATATGTCCCAACGGGATGAAGAAACTGCACTATTTGAGACTGAATGTGAAAAGGACCTAGGTGTGTATGTTGACAATGAGTTGAAGTTCTCGGGCCATTGCGAGAAGAAGGTAAATCAGGCAAATAAATTATTGGGTCTTATAAGAAGGTCGTTCAGATATCTAGACGGTCTGTCCCTCGTAACGATCTTCAAGAGTGAAGTGCCTGAACTTGCCTCGCTTATACTACAGACGGGCAAGGGGCACTACTCAGTCGAGTGTCCTTACTTGGAGCTGGCGGACGCTCACCCCACAAGGGGTCACAGCTCAAGATTGAAGAAGCCGCAGGTCCAGAAAACTGTGAGGTGGAAAGTTTTTCGGAGTGAGAGTTGTGAACTCTTGGAACAATCTGCCAGAAAGTGTTGTGACGGCACCGAGTGTGAGCTCTTTCAAGGCCAGACTTGACCAACACTGCAGCAGGTTTAGGTACATTCAGGATAAAAGTAAGTAAAAGTGTAGGATCAGAGGAAGTGTGTGTGTGTTTGGTAATGTTGGGATGGTTGTGAAGGCGACAACATTTTGTCCTTGTTTTTTTTTTAAATGTTTCATGTGAGTGATATTGCTTAGGGTTGCCTCTTATTGATTTAAAAGTGTTTAGTTAATTTTGCGTTGGAGTGCACGTAATTCATGATAAGCTAAATACTGGTAACTAAGATAAATAACTTCGCCTATACTGTATTATGATTACTAAAAATTACACAATACTGTAGACCTATTTCATAAAGGAACTCGGCCAACAGCTCACATTCTGTGGTCCTTTTATTAAGTTAATCATTGTATTGATATATACTTACGAAAGCACTGTCACTTATGAAAGCCTTAAATGTTATATAGTATTTACAGTGCGACGCAAATATACTGTATTGTATACAGTACAGTAGTTTGATTCATATTTTTCTATTATATTTGATAACTTTCATCTCTGATGTCCTTTGTTTTGGAAGAAATATTAGTTTCTGTTGAAATCCATTATTATTATTTATGAAATTATCTTATTACTATTATGTTAATTCAGAATGTAAGAGTAATAGAGTCCTGTAACTAAGATTATGTCATACTTTTAATGTTGAGTAGTCCAATGTGAAAAACTTTGTCTCCATAGACAAGGACAAGTTAGTGAGACTGCCCGGTACTGTACACGACCACAGTGTAGGTCGTGTTTGGCCATAACCCTTGATAGTGAGGATCATTAGTTCTTCTCTGTGTTAATTGTCACCTTATGAAGTTAAAATATCTTTAAGTGTTTCTGAAAGCTTTATGCCATACACAACAACTTTTACCATAGTCGAATAAAATTAATATACTGTATATGTTTCCAGTGTTTCAACTATTTCCTGCAGTTTTTATGTGGCTAAAAACCTGATATATCTCTGTTTCAAACATTCATTATGTAAAATTAAAACTTAAACAACTACATCAAAAACTATGATAAAATAATAAAGAACTCGAAAAGGTTTATTTTGAAGCAATAGAAGTTCACGTTATGGCTCTGTAAACATAAGAGCAGTAGTCAATTTCTTCCTCCATGGTTATATCAGAGACCTGGATGGTGTGACTGAGACATAGATGGGTGTGACTGAGGGATGGGTGGTGTGACTGAGGGATGGGTGGTGTGACTGAGGCATGGGTGGTGTGACTGAGACATAGATGGTGTGACTGAGCGTTCCACAGACCCTAGGAGGGCCCCTGGGGGGTTCCACCCTCCTGGCAGGGCCTCTAGGGGCACAACCGCCCCTGAGAGAGACTCTAGGGGTGCCACCCCAATCGAGAGGATTCCTGGGGGCTGTTGTTTTTGCACTATTTAGAACAATGGGAGATATGACCTCAAATAAATCAACCGCCCATCGCATTTCCAGTGTTATCACATCATGAACAATGTAAAGGAGAATAAATATCCAACAGGAAAACATAAGTTAGGGTGTTGTGCTGACTGGAGGCTCTGTTCTCCTATTGGCTGTAATTTGGTGGATTTATATTTTAGTCCACCAATCACAGTTAAGTAAGGGATTGCTGGACGTATGCAATATATGCGACCTAACGATCAAGCCCCTAGCGGCGAAGTCGCCCCTGGCAGGGCCCTTGGGGGTCTCCGCCACACCAAGGTGGGCCCCTGAGGGCCCCACCGCCTCTGGGAGGGCCCCTGTGGCCGCCACCTTCCTTCAGAGAGCCCCAGGAGGCCTGACCACGCTTGGCACGGCCCCTGGGGGTGCATCCATCCCTGGGGGGGTCTCTAGGAGCGTCGTTGTTCCTGAGAGAGTCGCAGGGGGCTCCACCGTCCATGAGAGAGACCCTGGTATATCCGCTGTCCCTGGGAGAGGCCTGGTAGCGCCAGGGCCCCTGGCAGGATCCAATGGGGGCGCCATTGACGCTTGCACGCACCCTAGGAGCGCCACCGTCTTTGGGAGGGCCTCTTGGAGTGCGGTTGTCTTTGGGAGAGCCCCTGAGGGTGCCAGCGCCCCTGGCAGGGTTCCTGGTGGCGCCATCGGTCCTGACACGGCCCCTGAGATTGCCGGCATATCTGGGAGGGCCCCTGACAGCTTTGCTGTCTCTATCAGAACCCCTGGGAGCGTCACCGTTCTTAGAGGGCCGCCACCACTAGTACAGGACCCCACTAGTACAGTTGTTTTTGCACGATCTAAAACTCTGATAGATATGACGTTAAATAAATACAACGCCCATCACATTTCCAGTATCATAACAGACCTCAACAATGAAAAGGAGAATAAATATCAAACAGGAAAACATAAGTTGGGGTGTTGTGCTGACTGGAGGCTCTGTTTTCCTATTGGCTGTAATTTGGTGGGTTTATATTTTAGTCCACCAATCACAGTTAAGTAAGGGGTTGATGGACGTCTCCGCTGTCCCTGGGAGAGGCCTAGTAGCGCCAGCGCCCCTGACATGGTTCCCTGGGGGCGCCACTGACCCTGGCACGCACCCTGGGAGCGCCAACGTCCTTGGGATGGTCTCTGGGAGTGCGGCTGTCCAAGAGAGATCCCCTGACGGTGCCAGCCCATCTGGCAGGGCTCCTGGGGGCGCCATCGGCCTAAGCATGGCCCCTAGAAGTGCCGGCGTCTTTGGGAGTTCCCCTGAGAGCATCGCTGTCCCTGGGAGAGCCCATGGGAGCGCCACCGTCCTTGGGAGTGTCTCTGAGAGTGCGGCTGTCCTAGGGAGATCTCCTGAGGGTGCCAGCGCCCCTGGCAATGCTCAGCACCATCGGTTCTGCGGCAGTGCCGCTGTCTGTGGGAGGGCCTGGGCGTTGCGTCGTGGGAGACCTGGGAGCGCCACCATCCTAGGGAAGAGGTCTCTGGAGTGGGGCTGTCCTGGAGAGCTGAGGTGCCAGCACTCAAGCAGGGCTCCTGGGCGCCATCGGTGGCAGCCCGGGTGCCTGTATCCCTGGGAGGCCTGACAGCTGCTGTTTCATGAGAACCCCTGGAGTCACCTCATGTGGGCCGCCCTAGGGAGATCCCCTGAGAGTGCCAGCACCCCTGGCAAGGCTCCAGGGGCACCATCGGTCCCGGCACAGCCCCCAGTGATGCCGCCTGTGGAGGGTCCCTGACAGCGTCGCTGTCCCTAGGAGAGCCACTGGAGCGCCACTGCTTTGGAGGGCCTCCACCACTACTACAGGAGCCCACTAGTACAGTTGTTTTTGCACGATCTAAAACTCTGATAGATATGACGTTAAATAAATACAACGCCCATCACATTTCCAGTATCATCACAGACCTCAACAATGAAAAGGAGAATAAATATCAAACAGGAAAACATAAGTTGGGTGTTGATGCTGACTGGAGGCTCTGTTCTCCCATTGGCTGTAATTTGGTGGGTTTATATTTTAGTCCACCAATCACAGAAGTAAGGGAGTTGCTGGACGTCTCAGCTGTCCCTGGAGAGGCCTATAGCGCCAGCGCCCTGGCATGGTCCCGTGGCAGCACTGACTGGCACGCACCCTGGGAGCGTCACTGTCCTTGGGAGGGCTCCCTGGGAGTGCTGCTGTCCAGGGAGATCCCGAGGGTGCCAGCGCCCCTGGCAGGCTCCAGGGGCACCATCGGTGCTGGCACGGCCCCTGGGAGTGCGGCTGTCCTAGGGAGATCCCCTGAGAGCGTTGCTGTCCGTGGGAGAGACCCTGGGAGCGCCACCATCCTAGGGAGGGTCTCTGGGAGTGGGGCTGTCCTAGGGAGAGCCCCTGAGGGTGCCAGCACCCCAAGCAGGGCTCCTGGGGCGCCATCGGTCCTGGCACGGCCCCTGAGATTGCCGGCGTCTCTGGCAGGGCCCCTGACAGCTTTGCTGTTTCTATGAGAGCCCCTGGGAGCGTCACCGATCTTCGAGGGCCGCCACCACTAGTACAGGACCCCACTAGTACAGTTGTTTTTGCACGATCTAAAACTCTGATAGATGTGACGTTAAATAAATACAACGCCCATCATCATATTTCTAGTATCATAACTGACCTCAACAATGAAAAGGCGAATAAATATCAAACAGGAAAACATAAGTTGGGGTGTTGTGCTGACTGGAGGCTCTGTTTTCCTATTGGCTGTAATTTGGTGGGTTTATATTTTAGTCCCCCAATCACAGTTAAGTATGGGATTGCTGGACGTCTCCGCTGTCCCTGGGAGAGGCCTGGTAGCGCCAGCGCCCTTGGCATGGTCCCCTGGGGGCGCCACTGACCTGGCACGCACCCTGGGAGCGCCACCATCCTAGGGAGGGTCTCTGGGAGTGCGGCTGTCCTAGGGAGATCCCCTGAGGGTGCCAGCGCCCCTGGCAAGGCTCCAGGGGGCACCATCGGTCCCGGCACAGCCCCTGAAAGTGATGCCGTCTGTGGGAGGGTCTCTGACAGCGTTGCTGTCCCTGGGAGAGCCCCTGGGAGCGCCACCGTTCTTGGGAGGGCCGCCACCACTAGTACAGGAGCCCACTAGTACAGTTGTTTTTGCACTACGAATTTAGATCTCTGATAGATATGACGTTAAATAAATACACCTCCCATCACATTTCCAGTATCATCGCAGACCTCAACAATGAAAAGGAGAATAAATATCAAACAGGAAAACATAAGTTGGGGTGTTGTGCTGACTGGAGACTCTGTTCTCCTATTGGCTGTAATTTGGTGGGTTTATATTTTAGTCCACCAATCACAGTTAAGTATGGGCTTGCTGGACGTCTCCGCTGTCCCTGGGAGAGGCCTGGTAGCGCCAGCGCCCCTGGCAGGGTCCCCTGGAGGCGCCACTGACTCTGGCACGCACCCTGGGAGCGCCACCATCCTTGGGAGGGTCTCTGGGAGTGCCGCTGTCCTAGGGAGATCCCCTGAGGGTGCCAGCGCCCCTGGCAAGGCTCCAGGGGGCATCATCGGTCCTGGCACGGCCCCTGGGAGTGCCGCCATCTGTGGGAGGGTCCCTTACAGCGTCGCTGTCCCTAGGAGAGCCACTGGGAGCGCCACCGTTCTTGGAGGGCCCCCACCACTAGTACAGGAGCCCACTAGTACAGTTGTTTTTGCACGATCTAAAACTCTGATAGATATGACGTTAAATAAATACACTGCCCATCACATTTCCAGTATCATCACAGACCTCAACAATGAAAAGGAGAATAAATATCAAACAGGAAAACATAAGTTGGGGTGTTGTGCTGACTGGAGGCTCTGTTTTCCTATTGGCTGTAATTTGGTGGGTTTATATTTTAGTCCACCAATCACAGTTAAGTATGGGATTGCTGGACGTCTCCGCTGTCCCTGGGAGAGGCCTGGTAGCGCCAGCGCCCCTGGCATGGTCCCCTGGGGGCGCCACTGACCTGGCACGCACCCTGGGAGCGCCACCATCCTAGGGAGGGTCTCTGGGAGTGCGGCTGTCCTAGGGAGATCCCCTGAGAGTGCCAGCACCCCTGGCAAGGCTCCAGGGGGCACCATCGGTCCCGGCACAGCCCCTGAAAGTGATGCCGTCTGTGGGAGGGTCCCTGACAGCGTCGCTGTCCCTAGGAGAGCCACTGGGAGCCCCACCGTTCTTGGAGGGCCCCCACCACTAGGACAGGAGCCCACTAGTACAGTTGTTTTTGCACGATCTAAAACTCTGATAAATATGACGTTAAATAAATACAACGCCCATCACATTTCCAGTATCATCACAGACCTCAACAATGAAAAGGAGAATAAATATCCAACAGGAAAACATAAGTTGGGGTGTTGTGCTGACTGGAGGCTCTGTTTTCCTATTGGCTGTAATTTGGTGGGTTTATATTTTAGTCCACCAATCACAGTTAAGTAAGGGATTGCTGGACGTCTCAGCTGTCCCTGGGAAAGGCCTGGTAGCGCCACCATCCTAGGGAGGGTATCTGGGAGTGGGGCTGTCCTAGGGAGAGCCCCTGAGGGTGCCAGCACCCCAAGCAGGGCTCCTGGGGCGCCATCGGTCCTGGCACGGCCCCTGAGATTGCCGGCATCTCTGGGAGGGCCCCTGACAGCTTTGCTGTTTCTATGAGAGCCCCTGGGAGCGTCACCGTTCTTAGAGGGCAGCCACCACTAGTACAGGACCCCACTAGTACAGTTGTTTTTGCACGATCTAAAACTCTGATAGATGTGACGTTAAATAAATACAACGCCCATCATCATATTTCCAGTATCATAGCTGACCTCAACAATGAAAAGGAGAATAAATATCAAACAGGAAAACATAAGTTGGGGTGTTGTGCTGACTGGAGGCTCTGTTTTCCTATTGGCTGTAATTTGGTGGGTTTATATTTTAGTCCACCAATCATAGTTAAGTATGGGATTGCTGGACGTCTCAGCTGTCCCTGGGAGAGGCCTGGTAGCGCCAGTGCCCCTGGCATGGTCCCCTGGGGGCGCCACTGACTCTGGCACGCACACTGGGAGCGCCACCGTCCTTGGGAGGGTCTCTGGGAGTGCCGCTGTCCTAGGGAGATCCCCTGAGGGTGCCAGCGCCCCTGGCAAGGCTCCAGGGGGCACCATCGGTTCTGGTACGGCCCCTGGGAGTACCGCCGTCTGTGGGAGGGCCCCTGAGAGCGTTGCTGTCCGTGGGAGAGCCCCTGGGAGCGCCACCATCCTAGGGAGGGTCTCTGGGAGTGGGGCTGTCCTAGGGAGAGCCCCTGAGGGTGCCAGCACCCCAAGCAGGGCTCCTGGGGCGCCATCGGTCCTGGCACGGCCCCTGAGATTGCCGGCATCTCTGGGAGGGCCCCTGACAGCTTTGCTGTTTCTATGAGAGCCCCTGGGAGCGCCACCGTTCTTGGGAGGGCCGCCACCACTAGTACAAGAGCCCACTAATACAGTTGTTTTTGCACCTCGTATTTAGATCTCTGAGAGATATGACGTAAAATAAATACACCGCCCATCACATTTCCAGTATCATCGCAGACCTCAACAATGAAAAAGAGAATAAATAACCAACAGGAAAACATAAGTTGGGGTGTTGTGCTGAGTGGAGGCTCTGTTCTCCTATTGGCTGTAATTTGGTGGATTTATATTTTAGTCCACCAATCACAGGTAAGTAAGGGATTGCTGGACGTCTCCGCTGTCCCTAGGATAGCTCGCAAGCTGCGCCCTGGCATGGTCCCCTGGGGGCGCCACTGACCCTGGCACGCACTCTGGGAGCGCCAACGTCCTTGGGAGGGTCTCTGGGAGTGCGGCTGTCCAAGGGAGATCCCCTGAGGGTGCAAGCGCCCCTGGCAGGCCTCCTGGGGGCGCCATCGGCCCTGGCACGGCCCTTAAGAGTGCCGCCGTCTTTGGGAGTTCCCCTGAGACCGTCGCTGTCCCTGGGAGAGCCCATGGGAGCGCCACCGTCCTTGGAGGGTGTCTGGGAGTGCCGCTGTCCTAGGGAGATCCCATGAGGGTGCCAGCGCCCCTGGCAAGGCTCCTGGGGGCGCCATCGGTCCTCCACGGCCCCGGGGAGTGCCACCGTTTCTGGGAGGGCCCCTGAGAGCGTTGCTGTCCCTGGGAGAAGCCCTGGGAGCGCCACCGTTCTTGGGAGGGCCGCCACCACTAGTACAGGACCCCACTAGTACAGTTGTTTTTGCACGATCTAAAACTCTGATAGATGTGACGTTAAATAAATACAACGCCCCCATCATCATATTTCCAGTATCATAGCTGACCTCAACAATGAAAAGGAGAATAAATATCAAACAGGAAAATATAAGTTGGGGTGTTGTGCTGACTGGAGGCTCTGTTTTCCTATTGGCTGTAATTTGGTGGGTTTATATTTTAGTCCACCAATCATAGTTAAGTATGGGATTGCTGGACGTCTCAGCTGTCCCTGGGAGAGGCCTGGTAGCGCCAGCGCCCCTGGCATGGTCCCCTGGGGGCGCCACTGACTCTGGCACGCACACTGGGAGCGCCACCGTCCTTGGGAGGGTCTCTGGGAGTGCGGCTGTCCTAGGGAGATCCCCTGAGAGTGACAGCACCCCTGGCAAGGCTCCAGGGGGCACCATCGGTCCCGGCACAGCCCCTGAAAGTGATGCCGTCTGTGGGAGGGTCCCTGACAGCGTCGCTGTTCCTAGGAGAGCCACTGGGAGCGCCACCGTTCTTGGAGGGCCCCCACCACTAGTACAGGAGCCCACTAATACAGTTGTTTTTGCACGATCTAAAACTCTGATAAATATGACGTTAAATAAATACAACGCCCATCACATTTCCAGTATCATCACAGACCTCAACAATGAAAAGGAGAATAAATATCCAACAGGAAAACATAAGTTGGGGTGTTGTGCTGACTGGAGGCTCTGTTTTCCTATTGGCTGTAATTTGGTGGGTTTATATTTTAGTCCACCAATCACAGTTAAGTAAGGGATTGCTGGACGTCTCAGCTGTCCCTGGGAAAGGCCTGGTAGCGCCACCATCCTAGGGAGGGTCTCTGGGAGTGGGGCTGTCCTAGGGAGAGCCCCTGAGGGCGCCAGCACCCCAAGCAGGGCTCCTGGGGCGCCATCGGTCCTGGCATGGCCCCTGAGATTGCCGGCATCTCTGGGAGGGCCCCTGACAGCTTTGCTGTTTCTATGAGAGCCCCTGGGAGCGTCACCGTTCTTAGAGGGCCGCCACCACTAGTACAGGACCCCACTAGTACAGTTGTTTTTGCACGATCTAAAACTCTGATAGATGTGACGTTAAATAAATACAACGCCCATAACATTTCCAGTATCATCACAGACCTCAACAATGAAAAGGAGAATAAATATCAAACAGGAAAACATAAGTTGGGGTGTTGTGCTGATTGGAGGCTCTGTTTTCCTATTGGCTGTAATTTGGTGGGTTTATATTTTAGTCCACCAATCACAGTTAAGTATGGGATTGCTGGACGTCTCCGCTGTCCCTAGGAGAGGCCTGGTAGCGCCAGTTGCCCTGGCATGGTCCCCTGGGGGCGCCACTGACCCTGGCACGCACTCTGGGAGCGCCAACGTCCTTGGGAGGGTCTCTGGGAGTGTGGCTGTCCAAGGGAGATCCCCTGAGGGTGCCAGCGCCTCTGGCAGGGCTCCTGGGGGCGTCATCGGCCCTGCCACGGCCCCTAGGAGTGCCGCCGTCTTTGGGAGTTTTCCTGAGAGCGTCGCTGTCCCTGGGAAAGCCCATGGGAGCGCCACCGTCCTTGGGAGGGTCTCTGGGAGTGCGGCTGTCCTCGAGAGATCCCCTGAGGGTGCCAGCGCCCCTATCAAGGCTCCTGGGGGCGCCATCGGTCCTCCACGGCCCCTGGGAGTGCCACCGTCTCTAGGAGGGCCCCTGAGAGCGTTGCTGCTCCTGGGAGAGCCCCTGGGAGCGCCACCGTTCTTGGGAGGGCCGCCACCACTAGTACAGGAGCCCACTTGTACAGTTGTTTTTGCACGATCTAAAACTCTGGGAGATATGACGTTAAAAAAATACACTGCCCATCACATTTCCAGTATTATCGCAGACCTCAACAATGAAAAGGAGAATAAATATCCAACAGGAAAACATAAGTTGGGGTGTTGTGCTGACTGGAGGCTCTGTTTTCCTATTGGCTGTAATTTGGTGGGTTTATATTTTAGTCCACCAATCACAGTTAAGTAAGGGATTGCTGGACGTCTCAGCTGTCCCTGGGAGAGGCCTGGTAGCGCCAGAGCCCCTGGCATTGTCCCCTGGGGGCGCCACTGACCCTGGCACGCACCCTGGGAGCGCCACCGTCCTTGGGAGGGTCTCTGGGAGTGCGGCTGTTCTAGGAAGAGCCCCTGAGGGTGCCAGCGCCCCTGGCAGGGCTCCTGGGGGCACCATCGGCCCTGGCATGGCCCCTGGGAGTACTGCCATCTCTGGGAGAGCCCCTGAGAGCGTCGCTGTCCCTGGGAGAGCCCATGGGAGCGCCACCATTCTTGGGAGGGCAGCCACCACTAATACAGGAGCCCTCTAGTACAGTTGTTTTTGCACTACATATTTAGATCTCTGATAGATGACGTTAAATAAATACACCGCCCATCACATTTCCAGTATTATCGCAGACCTCAACAATGAATAGGAGAATAAATATCCAACAGGAAAACATAAGTTGGGGTGTTGTGCTGACTGACTTCTTTGTTCTCCTATTGGCTGTAATTTGGTGGATTTACATTTCAATCCACCAATCACAGTTAAGTAAGGGATTGCTGGACGTATGCAATATATACATACGTCACCACGACCAAGTTAGCTATAGGGCTCCAAGTAGGGGCGCCTCTAAGAGGGCCCCTGTGGGTGCCACCGACCCTAATAGGTCTCATGGGGCTCCTGAGCGTACCACAGATCCTAAGAGGGCTCCTGGGGGCAGTTGTTTTTTCACTATTTAGAAGAATGGGAGATATGACTTTAAAGAAATACACCGCCCATCGCATTTCCAGTATTATCACATCTTGAACAATGTAAAGGAGAATGAATATCCAACAGGAAAACATAAGTTGGGGTGTTGTGCTGACTGGAGGCTCTGTTCTCCTATTGGCTGTAATTTGGTGGATTTAAGTTTTAGTCCACCAATCACAGTTAAGTAAGGGATTATTGGACGTATGCAATGTATACGTCACCACGACCAAGTAAGCTATAGGGCTTCTAGGAGGGGGCGCCGCTAAGTGGGCCCCTGGGGGTGCTACCGACCATGAGGTCAACCCTGTCTCTGGTCGGGACCCTGGTGACTCCAACACCCCTGGCAAGACCTCTGGTGTAGCATTTGCCCCTGGGACGGCCTCTGGCGACAACCACCGCCTCTAGGAAGTCCCCTGGGGGCGTGGCCGATGCTGCAACTGGGAAGGCTCCCGGGGGCGCCACCACTTCTGGAAGGGCCCCTGGGAGTGCAGCCACCCCTGGTGGTTTTGCCGCCCTTGGGAGGGCTCCAGGTGGCACGGTCTGCTGTTATGAGGGCCCCTAGGAGCATCGCCGCCCTTGGGAGGGCCCCTGACTGATCCTCTGCTCTTGGAATGGCTCCTGGGGAAGCCACCGCTCCTGGGAGGTTCCTGGGGTTCGCCACTGCCTCTTAGATATCCCTCGTCGCCCATAGTAGGGCCTCTTGGGGCGCAACCACTTCTGGAAGGGCCCTTGGGGTCACCACTGCCTTTCAGAGTGCTGCCACTCCTAGGGAGGGCCCCTGAGGGCACGGCCACCCCTAGGGAGGGCCCATGCCTCCCATGGGTGTGCCGTCGCCCTTGGAAGGGCCTTTGAGGGCGTCACCGCCCCTGGGAGGGCCTTTGGGGTCCCCGCCGCCCCTGGGGTAGCCACTGCCACTTGGAGGGCCCTCGCCGCTCCTGAGGGGTCCCCGCCACCCCTAAGATGAGCCCCTGGGGGCGCTGCCGCCACTGTGGAAAGGCCCCTTGGGGCTCCACCGCCTCTGGAAGTGCCCCTTGGGTTGCCACCACCCTTGGCAGGGCCCTTGGGTTCGCCGCCTCCCGTGATAGGGCCCCTAGCAGTGCCGCCAACCCTGGGAGAGCCCGGTGGTGTCGCCGCCTTTGGGAGGGCCCCTGGGTGTGCCAACGCCCCTGGCAGGGCCTCTGAGGTCGCTGCCACCTTTAAGTAGGATCGCCTATGGAAGGGCCTCTGGGGGCGCCACCACCTCTGGGAGGGCCCCTAGGGGCGCCAGCTCCACTGGCAGGGCCTTTGGGATCACCGCCACCCATCAGGATGGCCCCTGGGGTCGCCACTGGCAGGGCCCTTGGTAGGTTCATTTGGGTTGCAGCTGGCCCTGGGAGGGACCCAAGCAGCATTGCCACCCCCTAGGGAGAGCCCCTGGATATGTCAACGTCCCTGGAAGGGCTTTTGAGGGTGACACCACCCCTGGAGGAGCCCTTGGGGTAGCCACCGCCACCTGGGAGGGGCCCTTGGGGTAGCCACCGCCACCTGGGGTGTCACTGCCCTTGAGAACGCCCCAGGGGGCACTGCCACCCCTAAGGATAGCCCCCTGGGAGTGCTGCTGCCACTCCTAAGGAGAGCTCCTGGGTGCACTGCTGCCCTTGGAAAGGCCACTTAGGAATGCCACCGCCCTTGGAAGGGCCCCTGGCAGGGCCCTTGGGGTCACCGCCTCCCCTAAGGAAGGCCCATGGGAGCGCCACCACCCTTAGGAGGGCCCCCTAGGGGCACCCTCTAGTGGCAACTCCATATCTGAAAGGGCCCCTGGGTATGCAGTGGCCCTAGGGAAGGCCTCCGCCCCTTGTGTGGGTGGAGGACCTGGGAGCACCACCATCCCTGGGAGAACCTCTGGTGGCACCCCCGCCCCTGGGGTTGCAACAGGCCCTGGCAGGGCGGGCAGGAGCGGGCACGTGTTGTTGCCAGCTCTTGCCCGCTGCCAGTGCGGCCATGTCTATGGGTTACAATGCTACAAAGTCTTCCATGCCTGATCGCTCTAAGTGCGGCTGTGACCTTAGACCTATTCAGTTTTGTGGCACAGGGCATTGTCCTTAGTGACGCTCCACATCTTATACGCGCAGTTGTATACGCCTGTGGGGTCGAAAAGAATAATGCTTGGCCAAACAACCACCACTCTACTGAGGAACTCACCTGGTGTGTTGGGTAATGCTTACGGTCACTATGCAACCTCCTCTATGGATGTGAAGAAATGATGGTGCTATTTGTGGTGCTCGCGGTCGCAGAAACGGTCCTGGTATGGCTGTCTGAAGGATCTCATCTTCCTAACAAGAACAGTGTGTGAAACAGGTACCTATTGTGTATACTTTGGTGCCAAGAATTAGCAGCAGGACCTGTATGTATTGAGATGCATCGAGTATGTTGGTGCTATTGAGTATTTTGGGGCGATGTGGGGTTAGGAATGACCGAGGTAAGGAGGTCAATGATTTGGTATGGAGAGAAGACCTTAATTAGTTATTTGGAGAAGGTTGGGTATTTTTGTGTGGTGCAGTGACCTTAATAATTATTTGGTGTAGGCCAACTATTTTGTATCATGACGGAATGCAATATTTTTATATTAACCCTTTCACCACTTGTCACTAACTTTCCATTTTATTCCGGCTTCTGCCAGACGATTTTATTCACCTAAGGGTAACCTCCCACTGTGAAAGGGTTAAGGAATAAATTAGTTAAATTCTTGGTTGGTGTTTCACCCTTCCTTCCACTCTCAACATGATTAAAGAAAAACACGAACTTACAATGCTTGGATTGCTCTGCCAACTACCTAAAAAAACACTACACATACTGTCCTGTGGTCTGGTGGCAGCGACCTCAAGTTAAGATGTAAGTTAAGTACCCCAAGAATTAAATGATCACACTAAAGGGCAGTATATTGACACTGGGTCATGTATCTTGTTAACTTAGGGTGTGGTTGTTGTGTTGGCGACAGCTTCTACACCTTAAATAAATTTACACCTAGGTGGCCCTCAGGCCGGCCATCCTCGATTTCAAGGGGCATCCATTATAGTGAGGAGGAGGATGAGAAAAACCACGTCAGGGCCCACACTGTAATCCAGAACATGTTGATTCTGAATCTATGGTCCATGATTCAATTGTGGGTTATGCATGCATGCACCCACACCCTCGTTGTGCTTTATAAAAACTGCCGAGAGAAACCATAATTTTTTATTCTCAACAAATGCAACAACGAGTTTAAGTCATACAGCTTTACTGAATCTGTCAGGGACACATCAACTAACACTAGTCTTCACCAATTGGGTAAGATATTTAATTCATCTTGTAATTACTGTAATATAACATTCTCAAAAATTAAATCAATACAGCTTGGCAGATATATGAACTGAATCCCAGAGAATTCCCAACATAAATTTTCTGATAATACTGTACTGTATACAGGGTGGTCCAAAAGTCCCTATCTATTTTTTTAAATATTGGCATTTGTAAAATTTTCTATTTGCAGGAATGTAAGAGAACGTGTGATGATCATAACACTTCATATCAAAGGGAAGAAATACAAAGAAATCAAGAGACCAATTTGAAAGGAAATTACACAAATTCAAGCCCACAGACGAAGTAGTCCGTGACCTAGTCAATAAATTTAGAGCAGGATCTGTTCATCGTGTGAAATATTCGGGATGGCCACACAAAACAAAAAATACAAAAATTAATTGATCAGAGAGGCATTACCTAGAATGTCATCCTGCACGGCATCTATACACTGAGCATTCCAAAAACAAGTGTCTTGAGGATTTTAAAATTGAGACTAAAAAAAGAAGTTATATCCAGCTTTTCCATACATTACTGGGAGAGGATTTCCCACGACGCGCTGCTGTGTTCAGAAATGATTGAACGCATACTCTTAAGTGATGAAGCAACTTTCCACATGAGGGGAAGTTAATCAACAGAATTGCCATGTCTGGGCTGATGAGAAACCAACAGAGCTCTAGGAATGGGAGGGAGGTTCTCAAAAGTTAATGACTGGCTAAATAGCAAATCAAGGACGTACAGACCCTTTTTCTTTGCAGAATCTACAGTTACAGGGCCAGTTTATCTTGACATGCTCTAGCTGTTTTTAGAACCCCAGCTTCACTCAGATGGCATCCTCGACACTATTGTTAGAAAGTACCTTTACCAGCTTTTGCCAAATCACTGGACTGGACAAGGTGGAAATAAATAATGGGTAGAACATTTTCCAGAGTTAACCCCATTAGATTTTTTTGCAAGGGGCTTCATAAAGTATGATGTTTAAAAAATGAGAGTACTGTACAGTTGCAAAAATAACTCTTGATATGCTTCCAAATGTGTTTCAAAAAGCAATGGATTGGTTTGAGATACAGAGAGTGCTCATGTTGAATCTTCATCCTAATGTGTGTATTGGAATATGTACAGTAATTCAAATATACAGTATTATTTAATCATTTATCTTAACACGTTGCCCACATAATGGCAACGGGGGTCCCCCCTTTCGTTTCTGAATATGCCTTGAGGCATCACAGTGAAAGGAGATGAGCAATATGTCTCAGAGTTAAGGCTGGTTATGACGCAGTAAAAGTAGTGTCTCACCAGTGGCACAACACCTCACACAATAATAAATACAGCCTTGTCTAGCATAATGTTCCACCTGTCCTGAATGCAGGGTGGCCACTAATGTACCAACAGGCAATATTGAAGTACCATGCCTGGTGCACCACTGAACTAACATATGTACAGGTAACATGTTAAAATACAGCTACAGTATTTGGATAAAATAGATAGGTACCTTTGGATCACCCTGTACAATATAGTTGTAAAAATGGGGACTGGTTCAATAGGCCCAAGTGCTACTGCAATCCATTCTATTCATTAAAATTGGGGGCCAGCCCTATGGGACCCCAATCCTAAAGGTTAGATCAGGTTAGCATTCATTTGAATGGGGCCCATTTTACCTGTAACCACCAGAAATACTTTTTAGTTTCCAGCTGCCCTTAAGAGTCAAGTCAGCTTGTAGGCTCACAACTGCTACATACTACAGTAGATAATTACACTTCATGTTTACATATTATAAATCTCCATACCAAAAATAAATCTTTACACAAGTGAAAAAGTTGAGAAGTATAACAGAACTGTGGCATAAGACAGCAGTCAGAATCATAAACCTCAGTATGTGGATGTTTCCTTGGGTCCATCTGGGCCGTAGGCTGGAAGAGAACAAAATAAACCTTGAATCTGTCTGAACAAATCCTACTTGACATTACGCTTCAGCCAGCAATGTTGCAGTGAACAATGCTAGTCTAACAAGATTTTCGTCATTAAACCTGACGTAACCCAATCAGCATTCGTAGTGACAGCTTTTACACACATGAGATTTGAGCCAAGAA